AATAGCAGTTGTTGTCCCGAAACGACGTAGGCGACAAATACACCACACTCTGACATAAAGCAGGCAAGCTACGATGCGACGCTGTACGCATAGCAAAAAGTGAACAAGCTATACAGTGACGACAGGTCGGGACCAATGGACATCTGATGGCAGAAAATTGCCAGTGATCCCGCCAAAAAAGTACGTGCATAAAAGTCTCCGTTACTTTCCTCTTAGAAGGCAGAACGCAGTTTCGGAAGCGAAAGCCCAGGAATTTGGTATTTGGCGACCTCAATTGGTTGTGCAATTCGTAACCTGTAAAGGCCCTTTCTCGCTGCATATGATATCCTCCAGACCATCCAACAGCCTTAATTAGAAATCATTTTTTTTTCACGGACCAAATACGCTTTCGTAATAGGTGCTCTTATGAAAAACTAATCGAATCGTGGCTGTTGCAGATGGCAGCGGTTCGGTGCACCTCGAAGGCGCACCCCTGTTCTTCAACTGGAGCTGCGAACAGTGCGACAAAAATGGATCCTTGTACCAAGCATTCGCCAAAAAGCGGCTGGACCAGCAGGTATTCGATAGCGGAGCTTATATGGACTGTCATAAGGTCCGCCACACGGATCTTGAATTTCAGTGGCAGAGACGGAGCAGGCTATGAAATCAGCGAGCGAGCACTCGACTCTACATAGCACCGCTTACAAATCAGCCACAGGAATACAATATGTGCCACTGGTAGCTGGAGCAAGCATGGACGCATCAAAGAAGTGGAAATGCTTGAGAATTGCCCCGAATACCTAGCGTGCCGTTATTCCATTCTGCTAATTTCACAGTTGAATTTTCCCGCGCCTACGCGGCAGTTTTTGTGTCATTTCGACTATCTGATGAATCGCTTGTGTAAGAACGGGAACTTTCTGACAGCTCATGATATCGAGAAGCGGAAGCAATGAATACTGCACTATTTGTCCAGTCGCCATGTTGTGCGCCAACACTGCCAAAACACGCGACCCGGTGGCGCTTCCAAGCAGACAAACATCCCGCTAAAGTGTAATCATGCCGAGTTCTTGTCCACTCGGCCAATCTTGTCAGAGCAATCTCTCCTGCTTCAAGGAAAGACAGCCACCCTGGATACACTCTGAACCTTTCGGTGGAATGATGAAATCCTGCTCTCCTTCTGCCATTGGAGCATACTTTTTCTAAAAAAAAAAAACATTGCCCCGTCACGGTGGTCTAGTGGATAAGGTACTCGGCTGCTGACTCGCAGGTCGCGGGATCGAATCCCGGCTGCGGCGGCTGCATTTCCTTTCGTTGAAGGCGGAAATGGTGTAGGCTCGTGTGCTCAGATTTGGGTGCAAGTTAAAGAACCACGAATAGTCCACTAGGTCGACTGACCTGGGGTGCCAAAGAACCACTAGGTGTGCCAATTCCCGGAGCCCTCCACTACGGCTAGTCTCATAATCATGCGGTGCTTTTAGGACGTGAAACCCTCCATATCAATGAATCTAAAACAAACATTAAAGTTTTTTCCGACTCCGCTATCATAATTTAATGTGATATCTTTGGCGACGTATATACGTGTTGCACACTGAAGCGATGTAGGCAAACGGCATAAACACGAGTGTCTACGTGTGTGCACAGGTTATCGAGATACCGGACGAGCTGCGCTACGGCGTGAGTCAAGAGTACCGCTTCGTGCTGCACGTCAGCGCTGACGGCCACAGTGACAGGGCCACAATAACCGTGTGGGTTCCCGGTGATGAGGACGATAAGGTACGCAGAGGTCTTCGCGCGAAGCCTCAGCGTGCGTCCCATCTGCTACGCAGTGTAAGGTGTGAGCAACACTGCCAGTAAAGCTTCATCGACTCACCTTACGAAGTCGTCATGCATGAAAAGAAAAACGAGAGTTGCTGGTAGAAAGAACTGTGCTATAAATGGGTGAAATCTACTACAGAGGGTGTAGAAGAACATTAAAACTTAGATAACCTAGTGAGTCTGAGGGTATCACTCACATTTTGCTTACTCAGAATGGAGAACAACAAATCTGTACTTCTGCCACCCGCAAAAAAGCGAGTAACTTTGATAAAAGTCGTGCACAACACAGATAAAATGAAATTTGTTTTTCAGCTTTATTGTTACTTCAGTCTCAGGATATTCTCTACTGGAGAAAAAAAATTATCGCAGCTGTGCTCTAGGTGTCAAGCCTTCAGGAAGCGAAGAGCTAGGCAGCTTACCCCCGTATTCTAGAACGACCCTTCACTCAACGCTTCACCTTCACTTGAGAAAGCCGATGGAAGCGCCGTCTCTAGGCACGGCAAGTCACTGCATATTGATAATCTGCTGCGATTCTTGAGTAGCGCAGCATTGTTTTAAGCCGAGCAGCGGCGCAGTGCTCAACATTGTCAAGTGAAGGGTGAAAGTCGAGTCGAGGAGCGTTTCTGAACACGGGGGTTATTTTCTTTTTTTCTTTTGCCATATCTTTCCAGTCTATTTTTTATGTCTTTGCTTATTTCTATTTTTTTTTGTTCCTGCTTCTAGTTTTCTTTCTTGAGTTATCTACAATTCTCTCTCTCTCTCCATTCCTTGCTTCATCTTTCTCTTTTTTCTTTCTCCCTAATTCTTTCCCTCTTTCATTGATTATCTATTTTTATCTCTCGTGTTGCTCTTTCACTCATCACTGTTACTGTATTCCACTCCGGAAAAATCGGTGAGCGTGTTTTGGGCGTTAAGTGATGGTACGTTCATGGCGAGCTTGTGGCCACCTCATTCGCTTGATACAGACAAAAGTTGTAGTGGTGCGATGCGACTGCATGACAAACACACGAGACAGGTGGCAATGAAAACATGATGCCCCGCACGGTATGAAGAGCATGATTCAGATACCACACTTACGGTGAGCTCGATGTCGTTTTTCTCGCTCGATATACACCAATATTGGTGTCGAGTGACGTGACGGACTGTACGGGAAATACACGCGAAAAGCGGTAGTATGAAAATGATGGATCTCGAGTCATTCTTGGTTTGGTCTGCACGCCATGTTCGCGATGAGCCCACGGCCACTTCGCTAGATTGATATGTTCACAGAAAGTGGTACTGCGTGACGCATGCAGTATGAGGAGCCGGTATGGCAGACGGTATAACATGAAAATGTTGACACGCATAAGATGTGTGCCAGGACTTACATGTACGCTGCTCCTCACTTGATTCTCTCAGTGCGTGGGATCTGCCGGTTTTTTTTTCACAATGGTGCGAAGTCTCGTGCATGTAAGGCATAACTGCGATCGTTGCCTTTTGCGCCTTATCGCTGCGAGGCACTGTAAGGCGCCCTCATTTTAACCATACGATAAGGTTCTCGCGAACATCACGCGCCTCGTGCTTTTAGGGGCGAAGCTCCTTAGGGCGTGGGCTGTGCGTCCCCTGTAGCCTGTATGTAGCCACCTCTAGTTTAGTTCTTGCAGTGTTCACTAGATGGCGGTACCGTCTCCTGTATGTAGCCACCTCTAGTTTAGTTCTTGTAGTGTTTACTAGATGGTGGTACTTGTAGCTGATGATGAAAAGATGCAAGATGTTATAAACTAGAAAGCGGTACTTGTAGTTGATGAAAGACGCGAGATCTTATAAAATAGGAATGATGTCACATATGGCGCGTGTCATTGGTTGAAGGCAATCGTTCGATTTAGTGCGGCGACGTATGCTAGGGGGAGCGTTGTAATAAAATCCGTTCGCTGTTGGCGCGCGCTCGGAGTCGCCGGATGGATAAGGCTGCACAGCGGAGAGAGCGCAAGGCACAGACCATAAAGCCGTCATAATGAAGGGACATCGCAAGCCATCCATCGTCTAAGAACAAATAAAAGTTGATTTGTGTATATACACACACAGCGTTTCTCAAGTCTTTTCATGATGATCGACTGGGCGAATTACACGGAAGATTCACAGTTTACCGATGAATCCCTCCGGAGCTTCGCCCATTCATCATCATTCACACTGTGAATATGCCGTAATTTTTTGATAAGCATACGTGTTTGGCGGATGCCTGAGTAATAATCTTTTTATTTGGGATGCGTGCGTGTATAGCTTTACGCTTTTGATAGAAACTTCAGTTTCTGGTAGTACATCATCATATCTCCTTGATGCATAGAGAAACCTACATAAAGAGCGGACACTCCCGTAGGGCCCAGCGGCCCAGCTACTGCGTTGCTTTCAGCACGACGAGTTGCTGGTCAGACCCGGTAATATTTTCAGCATAAACAAAATAACCATTTTTTTCTTTCCTGTGCTGTGATTTGAACTCATACCCTCATGCATCGAAGGCGAGGGTCTTTACCATTAGGCCTACACGCCCATGCGTCCACAAAGGGAATACACGTACAGTACTTCTAAACTATATTGTGCCTCTTTGTGCAAAAGAAATGCAAAAAGACAACTCTTTCTAGTAATACGTTGCTGTTTTCTGTTGTAAAACATTAAATGTCCTAAGCGGAACATGATGCAGAGCGAATGTGAAAAATTGCACAAATTAATAAAACTTCTTCCTTACAAAAAATGGACGTCAAACTGGGGTATTTGTTGTCCTCCTGCGGAGTCTAGTCTATTGCATTCCTTAAGAAAGGAGTAAAACGAGCATGGGCACGCCATCTAGCAGTTGGTCAGACCCTCTCTCGCTGGGCCGCGAAAAAGCACCAGTGGCCACCCTTTATATAGTATATTTCTGTATGCTTCATGCCCCTGTATGGTGGCTCTTTCGCGCTCTCTTTTTCCTCCCGAAGTGCACTAAATAGTATTGCTACGTAAAATGACCCGAGACATGAGACGTGACTATTTACAAGTTGCATTTATGCTGCTGCGTAAAGCATCGACCATGATGGAGGGCAGTATACGCACAGCGTACAGACCAACACTCTTCTTGTCCGAGCGTTGATATGTCAGCCACGTAGGAGTAGGCTTAACTGACGTTCGTTCATGCGGTATTTTGCTGTATTATGCGAGAAAAGCTTAGCCTGCCTCCGATGTGACGCGCGCAGATGGTGCTATCGTGTCCTTGCTGCGAGTTCGGCGTCTTGAGCAGCGAGGATTTGGTGATAGAGGCACGGCCGCAGCGCACCAAGGTGTGGGACACCCGTTATCCGCTGGTCACGTGGACGATAAGCGGTCCCGGTGGCTGGCTCACCGAGCAGCGGGGAGCCGTGCTCTTGCTGCCAGCCGGAAACATCGTCAGGTCGGGGCTGTACAGGTACCGTGCAGGCTTCCATTCGTTTTAGCCGGTATTCTCAAACAAACCAAGTCATGCTTGTCATATTGATAAATTCGAGCAAACAATGTTAACATATCGTGATGGGAAAGCGAGGCCACTCAAAAACTGCATTGCGTTAGCCATAATACACTTACACTTTTTGGGGGCCACGTCCACCGCCAGGCAGCCGTAATAGCAACACGTGCTTAAAAAAAAGAAAACAGGAAGCAGCACGAACCAGGCCTCTTCGTTTCTGGCTCCTGTCTCAGCAGCTGCAGCAGCGCCCCTAGAGCGTTGAGCAAGAAACTATGGACACAGGCATACCCTCTTCCAGCTCACGGTGGAGGGTATGCCGTTGCGGCCTCTCCTTCTCAACGGTGTCGTCGTGGAAACTAAAGAAAACAAGCGACAGAGTACAGACAAGACGGCGCTTCCACGGTAGTACTACAGTGAACTGGAAGGTTTCGTAGTGGCAAGAGCGAAGCGGGCGTCTATAGGAGGCGCTGTGACGAAAAAAGCTGTCCGCCGCGCGTAGCGCTGCAGTCAGGTTCGCGAGGCCAGCCAGGCAGGCTCGACCGGCGAGTTGACTGCTGTCAGGGGGCTTTGCTGCTGTGGCTTTCGATTATTCTTGTATCTTTTTTCTGTGCTGGAAGAAAACGTTCTCGGTACCACCATGAACAAGAAAAAGAAGACGGATACGCACTGTTTCGCCCCGGGTTGCCGGTCAGGCTACCCCGGCCATCGCGTTGAAAACGGGCGGAAGATTTCGCTCTTTTCGGCACCAAAGGACGAAGACCGACGAAAGGTTTGGGAGCGGAACCTCAAGAGGAAAGACAAACCTCTAACGGACACATCCGCGGTTTGTGAAAAACACTTTGCAGACCATTTTGTCGTTCGTGATTATTTCCACATCATCGGCGGCAAGGAGGTACGAATCGCTCGAGGAAAGCCTGGTCTTACTGCAAATGCAGTGCCAACGTTTTTACCTGACCTGCCCGCATACCTTTCCACATCTGTGAAAAAACCAAGGCCCGAGCGAAAGCGCTGCTTAGTTTCTACGTCTGGATCGGCGAAGAAAGTTCGTCTCTCTCGTCGCGATGAGCACGAAGCGAGCTTGCTCGGCGAAGAGAATTCCGAACCGAACACGAGCCATGCCGAAAACATGCAAGCGAACCCGCTCAAATCAGGTGACTTAAGGGACCTTGCCACCTGCTTAAGTGTTCCAAGGCTGTGGACGAAACTGACCACTCCAGACCTTGATCTCCTTGTGTATGCCACTACACGCACAACAAAACAGCCTTTCAGTGTCTCCCACGAGAAAGTGATCTGTTTCAGCTTAGATAGCAACAGTGATGTTGTGGCAAGCTGTTATCTCGGTGCGAGAGAAAAGAAGTACGGCAAAATCACCTCCCTTCTTGAAGCAACGAACATATTTCAAGAATTTGACACTGCATTGCTTTGTTCAAGCGCTATGAGCAAAGACGCTTATGACGGCCTTGCTCAGAACCTGACCGAGAAGATGAAGCGCCCCCTCACCCCCGCGAGTGACGGCGTGTTCAGCAAGAACTGTCTTGAAATGGTGACAGTCAAAGGTGTGTGTTAATATTTTTAATAAGAAACAATGTACTTTCTGTTCTAGCTGACATAGCCTGCTACTTTTTTTTCATAACCTAAGCATATCCTTTGTATCTAAAGCAACCTGCATTAAAGGGAAATAACACTAGTCAGGACCTGTTAGCTATTACACACTTTGTAATAGCTCTGGAGTTTATTTTTCCTCCAATTATCTGTTAGCCCTTGTTTCCATGTCTTGCAAATAGTTCAAAGTAAGGAAGTGGCTTATTTTATGTTTTACGTTTTTCAGGAACCATCTGTGTTCATTGTCGCTATTTGCGAAAGTCTCTGCTGGCACGGAAGTCCAAGTTGAAGAAAAAACGTGTCACGCATAACTTGTCTCACAAGCTGCGAATGGCCAATCAGAAGACAAAGCGAATTGCTTCACGCTTGTGTACCCTGGCAGGCCAAGTACGAGCCATGAAAGAAGAAAACTCCTGGCTAAGTGATGAGACTTTCCTTGGCCGAATTAAAGAACTCCCCCCAAAGCAGCAAGAGGCAGCTCTACACATGTTCAAGGATGCGAAGAGGAAGAGTGTTAGAGGGATGAGGTACTCGAAGGAGTGGATTTTGGAATGCCTCATCATGCGCATGAAAGGGCCAAAGCTTTACGAGGATATGCGGAGGCAGAAAGTTCTTGTTTTGCCGAGCAAGGTTACTCTTCAGAAGTATCTCAGGTCGTACAGGATGGAATTCGGCTTTAATGCCAAAGTGATGAGCATGCTCAAGCAGAAAGCGTCTTCCATGGATGCCTTCAAAAGGCACGGAGGGCTCATCGTTGACGAAATGAAACTGTCCGAGAATCTGTCAGTCTCATCGTCAGGGCACATACAAGGCTTCGTGGACGTGGGCCAGTTCACCCCCAGCAGTGACAAGCATAAAGTGGCTGACCATGGGATGGTCATAATGTTTGTGCCGTTCACTGGCGAGTGGACCCAATACTTGCTTCTTTTGCCACGCAGGGCAACATGAAAGGAAATTTGCTCTCGAAAGTGATGCTGGAGGCAGTGATTCTAGCGGAAAAGGCTGGGCTATTTGTTGATTTCATAACATCCGACGGTGCGACCTGGAATCGAAACATGTGGTCCACGATGGGCATTTACGCGACTGCATCTAGCACAAAATGCAAAGCGCAACATCCAGTGGACAACAAGCGGTCACTTCATTTTATTTCTGACTTTCCACATCTTGTCAAATGCATCAGGAATG